TCCCATCATATAGCTTGTTGTATCCTATCCAACTCTTCTGATACATATAGGGGAACTGGAAGAGGTACAGATTTAGGGACAAAATAGTTAGCAATCCCATACAGTGAAGCTCTGAAAAATACAGGGTTTATAATCAATCAAACAACTGAACACTGTGGAAGGTACAGTAAACTAGCTTCCTGGGTTGATCTAGGATGCATTCTGTCTACCGAGGTGAAGCCAAGGAGAGAGTGCACCACTTCTGGTTCTCCTTCTACAAATACAAATATGTATATACAAAAATTCATTTATTGCTATTTGCATACAATGTATACAAAACAGAAAAAGTAATGGCTCTCATGCTAAAAATGCATGTGTGTAAAAATGCATATTAAAAATATTAAGTTTTAACACAAAGTATATTTTCATAATATCAATCAAAAATAAGAGCTCCACAAAACTGCTCTATACACAAACCAAAAAGAATTCACAATTAACAAACACATTCATACAGATAACATTTCCACAGAATCACAGTTCACCATTTACATTACAAATGCTTTTTCCTTTAAAAGTACCTAAATAAAAAAATCTAGACAAAGTCACAAAATGTAAAAACAACTACTAATATGTAAATAAATAAAGTGAGGAATCATTCTAAGGAGGGTTCGAGTTAACATTCGCTGGGAAAATGAAGATGGAACTCGGAAGGAGACTCACCAAAGCAAGGATGAGCTGGTTCTCCTTGTCACTGTGAATGGACGCCAAGTAGCCGCCTTTCTCATTACACCAGGCTTCAGCATCATGCCAGCTCCTGGAATCTTTGCTGACATAGTAGCAATAGGAATCCATTTCCTTCCAGTCAGTCTCGCCGGTTGAACAGTTCTGAACTGTGGGATACCATGCATAACAAAGAAAAGGACCAGTGCAGTGCTGCAGGGAAGGGTACGGTAGGATGTAATAACACCACAAAGTGTGTCACCATAAGTATCTCCACCCAGGAGTAAATATGGGCATCTATATGACAGCAGAGAGAGGGTAATTTTTGGTTGATTAAATTACTATCACTTGAAATGATTGCACTGATGGTTGTTTAACCTCCCAGGGAGTAGAGATGATCAAATTATTTCTGGGTGCAGAGAGAGAGATAAATATGGTGTATAATGCACACTGACAGTCCGCCAAGAACTGGAAAGAGAAAGCAACATGTAATGATAGGCATCATAACTTTACGTTATTGCAGCTCATTTAAAATATTCGTCCTTATAACCACTTTGTTATGCATGACATGTTAACATGATCCGGCCATCGGTACACACAGGCCTGGCTGACATATGCCACAAATTACCTCCAGCCAAGATGTATATATGCTAATCCATTTGTTTTATGACCACACACCATGTCCAAAAAGTCTGTAGAGGAAGACTGTGGTCCACAGCCTGTTGCAGCAAAGTATCACTCCGAGATGGCATTGCGGAGTGTTGCAAAATATAAGATGGTGGCAAGAAATATCGTACATACTCTCTTAACGACTCACGATTCAGTTTTTGTGGAATTTGTGACCCGCTCTAGAAAAGTGGGTAACAAGTTGCCAGATTCAGGTTATGAGTTCTTTAATATATGGCTGGATTTTGCACATCAAAAGCTACAATTTGATATATGAATGACCCATGTAGTGCACTGCATTCCGGAGATATATAGACATTTGTATATCCACATCATTGGATTCAATAAAAGCACTTTTCAAGAAAAAGCTTGTTAAGTGTAACACTTAGAAACACAATGCTATATATATGATTTTCAACTGAATGATCAATTTTTCATCTTTATTCATCAGTATCCATGTTTGTAGTCACAAATTCTGAAAATATAAATATCATAGAATCTATTAAATGAAAAAACACAAAATCACATTTTTGAAGAAATTTTGCCTTCTCCAAATAGAAGAGGCCATTACGTGTTTTGGCATTGCGCGACTTATTACCCTATTTTGTAGATCGAGTCACATTTGGCTGTTCATTAGGTTGGCTGGTACATTTTTCCAGCCAATATGAATTTTCAGCCAACTACAATATTTTAACTATGTATAAGCATCTCATTCTCTTTTCCTATTTAGAAGTACTTTTTTCTGTTGCCTGAAGCTGCCTGTGTCTCTATGTGTTTGTATATGCCAACCATTACAATACAGATTTTTACACTGTGATGTTGTGTCCCGGCATGTCAAACCAAGACAATGAATTACAAGGTGCAAGAGAAATTTTGCAGAATCTTACAGAATGACTTTCAACAGCGGAACTCTCCACCTTTTCTTTTTCTAAAAGCATTCCAAACATAATGGCGCAATATGAGCTCAGTTTGCTCTTTCTAAGCCAAACTGAAAACAAGATCACCGCAAGAACGGCGTAAGACCCATTTTGGGTGAGCTCTTCACATTTGAGAATGAAAAAGTTCAAGAGATGGTGGGATTCACAAAAACAAAGCAAACCAAAGTTTCTTACAGACAATAGGCGGTTCAGTCGTGAATACTTGCACTGAAAAGAAGAGAAGAAAAATGACACTGTGTTATTTGATTAATGTTTGGCCACATCTGTCCTACCTCTCCAACACAGCCAGGTGACACCCTATTTTAACACAATCAAAACTCTGTTGTTATCTTGAATCTTGAGCAAAATCACTGCCCCTCTCTGGACATTAGCGTTCTAATGAAGTCGTTTGTCTTCTTCAACTGGACTGTCCCTCTGCCTATGATCTCTCCAACACAAACATTCTTGTTTTGATTAACTCATCTCACAAGGGCCATTTTTTTTAAATTTGGGGTCTAATGTTTTTTCTTTAAATTGGATTCATGAAATTATAAAGTAACACATAAGTTAGAATACAATGCAATGTTTCAACAAGACCACTGCTCATTCCAAGCTGACATGTTCCCTTTCAAAAGAGAAAGCTTTCTTGCAATTTTACTATGACTTACTATGACCATCTTCTTTGTGGCAGTAAATGGGGAAAATTCCAGCATTTTGATTTTTACGCAAATGAAAACTTCCATATTTATCATCCAAACCTGAACAATATTGTCCCCTTTGCTCTGTTTACAAACATATGTAACATGTTTCTACTTTTTCTTGGGGTATAAAGTTACTCTTTTTAAGTTATTTATCATGATAAGAGGCTTGTCTAATGCTCAATATTTCTGCAAACTTTGTTGGGGTCAACTGTAAAAGACAAAATTTTGTACTCTTTTTTATGCTCTTTGACAAATTGTACCTTTTGTGATAAAAGAAATATATCGCACTCTGAAATATACATATGTAAGACTATTATAAGAATGGAAAAGTTACCTCTTTTTTGTCACTTTTAATTACAAGTACTTGAACCTTGTTTGTAAAACATAGTAAAGTGTATGAACACGAGTTGAGCCACATGTTCACTACATGTTTCCTTTCAATGACTAAGTACTCACTCTTTGGCTTCTCACAGACATAGTGGCTATTCAATTTGCAGTTTAAGTGATACCACTTGCCGTTGGCATCAAACCTCATCTCAGCACAGTTCTTGCCGCTGTTGCTGTCAGGGTCATCTGCCCAGTTGACATAGACCAAGGGGGACCCATCTACCCATTCCCAGCCTCCTGTATTACGGCAAGGGGGACAGGCAAGAATTGGCATAAAGGCCAATCAGCTCTTCATTAAAGCCTGAGTCAGTTTGATTACTTGAATGTTTTAAATTTCATTCAAGTAAATATGCAACTTTTTACATACAAAGAGACCAAAAACTTGATAAAAAACAATTTCGGGCTTTGCTGTTGGACATAATCTGCTCTTAAGTTCACTAGTAACATCCCTGGAAATGTGCTTTAAGAATTCAATTTTGTGAAAACATAACTGAATTTTACCCTTTTCTTCTTTTACTGAGTTTCACCTCACAAAATTCCTTTTACTTCAAAAATGATTATTCGAATATTTGACAATCAGTTAGATATCCGAATACTCAGCACAACCCTATATCCGAGTCCATCACAAGTTCTTTGACAAGTCAAGCCAACTCACAAGCTTGTGACTTGAATTGGCCGAGACTTATTGACTTGCAATGGACTTGTGACGGACTTGCAGGGACCTGTGTGAACTTGATTACAACACTGTCTGAACGGCTCAATTCTTTGAATACCAGCAGAGCTCAATTTTACCATTGTTAGTACGGTCGATTCCAATGTACACCCTATCAACGCTAAACGTCTTCTGGGCAAGGTTCTTCACAAAGGAGTTTTCCGCCTTGCTGCCGATGGTGACTACATAGGCCCCGCCGTAGTTCTTGTCACAGTCATAGACGGCGTCGCCAAACGAGCCCGTGGCGAAGATCCCCGAACCAACACGGTAGCAGCTGGAACCAAAGGCCGTCCAGTCTTGCTCGCAGTACCCAGGCACGGTGGGCTCAGGGGGTGGTGGCGTGGCTGCAAAGTTGTTGGAGCAATACAAACGTGACGGAGTAAAGGCTGGCTCAACGACAGTTTCTTATACGGCAATGCTTTGATGGTTTTTGTTTCTTGGGTCAGGTTCCTGTACAGGGTAGTTGGGTGCTCACCATTGCCAGATCCAGGGAGAGGGCTTTAGGCAGTGCGTGCCATGCTCCCTCCCCGAACGATTTCTTTTATGATGACAGAGAGACCATTTTGGCATTATTTCATTTCCCTCAAAAAGTTCATAAAAGGTTACGTAGAGAAAGTTCCAAATCCAATCCCAATAAAAAGACAACACAACTCTGGTTCTGGATCAATCCTGGGTGCTCACAGAACTCAAATTGATATCGGAACCTTGAAGCTAGATATAAAGCATTTAATTGGCAATGTGCTAACACCCTGCAGACTCGTATTTGAGTCACGAAACATCCAGGTCAAGTCCAAGTCCAAGTCACAAAGGTGGAGTCCAAGTCCGAGTCATGAGTCACCTGTTTTATTGTATTGGAAAAAATTTTCAGGTTCTGGAAACGATGGAACTTTTTTTCCCCATATTTTTCTCCCACAGAATTTGCATTCTGTGCTTGATCTTCCCTTTGCATCTCTCTTTTCATAAACCCAAAAATGACTACTTTTGGAATGGATTCCATGATCAATCTTCATGCTTTCAAATATGCACAGACCTTACTGACATCAGACCATCTGACCCATGAATAGCTGCAACTGAGAATCTTCGAACACCAATACACATGATTGAAAGCTCTAGAATAGTCTGGTACTGAATATTTCATCGTGTTAATGCAGTATCAAGATTGGATGGGATACATTTTTCGGTACATCGATGTCCCTAATCAATATATCAGCGACCATGTGTGTACCGCAGTAGCCGCATCAGGCGCTGTTTTGCTCAAGGAATTTAAAAAACCCAACAATGTCATTTTTGTCAAGTCACGCAGGCAGACTTTGAGTCCACAGCCTCAAGTCATTTATCAAAGTGACTGGAGTCTGTGTCACTAAAAATATGAGTTGAGTCCGAGTCACGAGTCACACAAGTCTGACACCATGCACTGCCATGCTTGATACTTTCTGTCAACTGGATTAAAATGAACCGAGGTATAATTTGGAGACATTCTTGAGACTTGTGTTGAGTTTTAGCAAACAACGTTGTCATTTCAGCTTTATCAGCAAACAAAACGATGTGCTTACGTTTCAGAAACTGCATTTAGTATACAGTGAACCAAGGGCAAGCGTATGCCATCTGTCCACGTCTGACCTTTTGTATTACCTACACAGCCTGCACGGCATCAGCGCAGCGCTACAACACAATCGCAATCACGAACCTTCCAATTACCAAGCAGAGAAATTAAAAGTGACTCACCCATGTTCGCAAAAACATGATGGCCATAAACACACTCTGCGGTTGGACGTACTCCTAATAGGGATAAATCCTGGCTTAAAGTTTCTGCATAATCGATTTCACCATCTCCATGACCTTCTCACCTGTACTGTACTTGCAAGCTGCGAAGTGCTTGACAGTATCACTGAAGATATTGCTCCACTCGCCAGCTTCGTACAGAAAACCCTGCTCTTTCATGATGGCATACTTAAAGCCTTTTGGATCAAACCATCCCCAGTTGTCATAGTGGACCGGCCATCCGTCCAACCAGGTAAATACCCCAGTGTTCTATCGGGAAATAAAGCAGGTGTACAATCATGTTAATTGTTACTGGTAGGGGTAACAGTTACAGAGCTGGGAAAAAATTTGACCTTACAATGCCTGTATTTTGTAACATAAGTGTTTACACATTAACAGTTTGATGTGAAATACTCAGTTCTTACTTGTGTCACAATAACATAACCATGAAAGATTTAACCAAAATAGCTCAGCTTATTCTGAGGTGCATTCCGGTTCCATATATGTATCAGATTTATTGGTCCTTAATTGGATAGGGATAGGTGAGACAAAATGGAACATGTACCCTTTCTCAGAGGGCAGAGATTCAAACACAATTATGCAGGACGTGATTGAGTTGTGTCACAACTTGGGCTATTTCAGGGTCTGAAAATGGTTAAACTCCTCAGGCAGTCAGAGACCAAGACGTAGCACTCCATGGG